GGAATAAATTGCCTAGGGTGGTCGTGGAATCTCCATCATTGGGGATTTTAAGAGCAGGTTGGACAAACACCTGTCAGGGATGGTCTAGATAATTCTGCCATGAGTGCAGGGGACTGGACTAGATGACCTCTTGAGGTCCTTTCCAATGCTATGATTCTTACACTGGTGTGTATGCGTTAGCAGCATCCACATACACATTTATGTCATCTTTGAGCTCACGGGCAGTTGAGTGTGGTGCTGGCTCCATGACAGAGTGTCTTATCACCAGATTCTTCTGAGGAATTTATTTAGCAATTGGGTTAAATCGCATTAAACTTACCAATAGATGTTGACATGTCAGCGGTGCTTGACCCAAGACTTTTCCATTGATGAAGGTTGCAAGTAGATTATGGTCTGTTACCCGTGTAAATGAATCCACTCCACACAGATATCTGTAAAAGTTCTCACATGCCCATACACTTGCCAGGCACTCTTTGCATATTGTTTTTTCGCATCTCTAAGTGTGTGAGAGGAAATGCACCAAGCTTCCACTCAGAGCCATGTTGTTGCAACAATACACCTCCTAGGCCATAGCTGCTTGCATCTGCACATCACCATTGTGGGCTTGTGCACATCACCATAGTTGAGAATTGGAGCTGTGGAGATCATTTCTTTTACCTTTTTGAAAACAATTTATTGATTTGGCCCCCATAGCCAAGTTGTGTTGGACTTTAACAATTCACTCGGTGGTTTTGTCACTGTGGAAAGGTCTTGACCTTTAACCTCCCCAGGCTACATCTCAGTTCTGATATATTAGTTGGTGCATTCAATTGTTTAATTGCTTTACTTTCTCAGGCCTAGAACTGATTCTATATTTGTTTGTCTGTCCATCCCAAAAACTCAATTTGGGGTAGGCGGAAAATGCATTTTTCTTTGTTTAGCTTCAGTCCAGACTGATTGATTAGGCTTAGAACTTCGTTGGGGATTTAGTGGTGCTCTTCCATCAAAGATCCATATATCAGAATATCATCCATGAAAACTACAGCTGCTAGCATTTTCTTTGGCTAAAGAAATTTGCCAGAATCTCATTGAGGCATTCAGATTGGAGAATATCATAGCTCCTTTCTCTTTGGGGAGGAAGTTACCCAGTGTTGGGAGGATATATTTTTCTCTTGCTTCATTAAGTGTTTTAAGATCCACACAGATTTGTATTTTTCCATTTTTCTTTATAGCTGGCTTCACTGGGGCACAATATGCTGTCGGCTCACAGATTTTGTTGATTATGCCAGTCCACTCCATTCTCCTCAACACAGTTTCCACTTTATGCAGTAATGGGATAGGAATCCTGCCAGGTCCATGTACACTGTATGGTTCAGCATTGTCTCTTAAGGTTATTTGTACTGGATCTCCTTTCAGAAGTCCACTGTCACTAAACATTATATTGAGTTCTTCCACTGTTTTCACTAGGCCCATTATGGCTGCCACTCTGAGGCTGATAAGGCTGTTGATCGGTGGTCCTTTGAGCACATATCCTCTGAATGCAGAGCTTTTGTCTTTAAGTTATTTCTGTGGTGAACTGGCCCATGCAGTTCAGAATACCTCCAGGGCTAGACAGAGCTGTGTCAGGTGACTTCAGCCCTGGGAGGGATTGAAGGTGATTTTAAGTCCCTTTGAGATGACTGTGACATCAGCTCCTGAGTCAGTTTTAAAGTCAATAGTCTCATCATGAATATTCAGTTTCATTCTCCAGGCTGGTTCTATGTAATCATAAGTGATGATCCCAGAAACAATGGCTTGATTGTCTGTAATGAGTCAATTCCTTGACTGCTTTTGTGTGACAAACAGTGGCAAAATGTCCATATTTCGTGCATGTATTACACCATGCACCTCTGGCTGGACACGCATTGTCTCTTGGGAAATAGCTTTTTCCACACAGTGTGCATGTAGGCTGGAATTTGTCCCTCTTAGCCTGGGGGTTCTCTCTCCTTGCCTTGAGGGTTTTATGATAATGACTTAAACACTAAACGTCTGTTTACAGCATCTATGGTAGTTTCAGGTTTTTCAAGTTGCTCCTGCCTTTTGTTCTGTTTGACTAATTCCGACTGCTTTGCTATCTGTATAGCTGTAGCGAGGGTTAAATCTCTCTTCAGTTGGAGCTGCTGTGAAAGGTTTTTTTCTTTAACTCAATAAGCAGACACTGGTATTTTCATGTTCTGCATTCCCAAAATCACAGTTTTCAGCCAATGTATGCAGAGCTCTTCAACATTTACTCCAGGTTCTTGAATGCTCTGATGAAAACATGCTCTTTCATAAACCATATAAAGTATGCATCAAACATAACCGGAACCCTTTCACAGTCATCTTTGTGAGTGTCTTCAATGAAGTCAAAGAATTTAAAGATATGGTCCTGCTTGTTTTCCCATAGCATAAATTAAAGAAGACACCTATATATTGCCAGTTTCTTTGTGGAGTTTGTTTGCAGGGCAAAATTTACAAAATTTTGTTTCCAGTCTGTCCATTCTGAAGGGTTTCAAAGCTGAAGTTCTCTGGGGCATTGAAGAGTGACATGCTGATGAATATCCACCCAGCTCTCTTCCTTCTGTTTCTGTTCTTAGTTTGCTCCTGTCACCACGTCAAATTCTTCCGTACCAGATATGGACTGGTCAGAGCTTGCTTATGTGTTCATCATAAGATCCTTTAATGCTCTGCCCATAACATACTGCATTTTATACCTAGTGGCTCAATGTATAATGTAGTTTAGCATTCCATTCCATTATCATTTACACTATGATCTCTTTACACTGTTCGGACAGATTAAAGGGGCTGCAAAATGAGCATAAATTATGTTTATGTAACCCACACACCTTCTGGGCATAGTGTTCTGTCCCATCTAGTGGCACTGAGACCACTTAGAGTTAAATGAGTCTTCTCTACAGGCTTAGCTACCAGTCAGTTGGCTTTTAGCTCATGCAGTAGAGGCTCATGCACTAAGCTCCAGAGGCCCCAGGTTCGATCCCCCCCGACGACGACCGGGGTCTGTCAGCATTACATTTACACTCACTTTAAGGGGCCCTCCCAGTGCAAATAAGAATCAGACCCAATGTCTCTTGCTATTATCAACACAGATGTACACTTGTAATTTACCTGAACAGCATCTGCTTGAAATTTAAAAATCCCTTTGGTAGTTGAGATGAGAGAATGGTGGTTAGTTCCCCACAGGCAGATTCTTGCCAGCCTAAATGCTCAGGTCTTTGTTTTAAATATTGACTCACACTACTCTTTAAGTAGGTTTCCCTCACCTTTACATCATATAGACCATTTCAGGAGATCCTCTCATGGACCATCTCCCCAAACATTTAACTCCTCAAATCTTGGTCCTCCAAACATTTTATTCTGTGGCTCACAGTTTGAGAACTGCACCTCAGGGCACTGAAGGCTAGTATAGTGGTCAGTATATGCCAGGTGAGTACACGCTGCTAGTATCTCCCCCTCACTTTCCTTAAGAGAACAAGATCCATCTCAACTCCTTATCCCCTTCACTCAAATCCAAAAAGATAGGAGCCCCTCCTCCTCTGGACTGACTCATCTTACACTTCAGCCTCCTTTCCTCTCATATCCACCCAGCTACCTGTTAGTTCTTCCCCATTCCCAGCTTAACTGCATCTCCAAGGCTTTGTAGCAAGCCGGTTGAGTCTCCTAGATGTGAAAGTTACTAGTGACCCCCCTTAACAGAGCAGCCGTTATGTCAGCCAGCGGCCATTAGGGGGAAGCAGACACTTCAAGTACACAGTAGCCTGAACTTTTCAACTGTCTTCCCTTTCAAGGCCTTAAGGTAGTTGGAGCTGGTCCCAAGCCGGTTTTCACTAACCAGATAGCAAAAGCACGGGTTTAACAACCACCAGTCAAGTGTTAACACGGCAAGGACCTTTGTCTGAATGCGTATAAAGGATCTGTAAAATGTGTGTAAAACAGAGTTTTTGTACCAAGGTGCAAAGCTCTCCTTTCTTCTGCAGAATAAAGCAACTCTTCCTTATCCCTGTCTGGCTGTTATTGGCTCTCAGCTAGGTGGACCCGATATTTCGATGACATAGATATAACGAAAGAAGAGCCCGAGCTTCTAGGTATATTATACTACTGGACCAGTGACATTTAACTCTTTTTAAACACTGGTCTCATCTAAATTTGAGTTGCACTGTTGATGCCAGAGATTAAGCCCTACTCTCTCGGAATAGCCATGCTAATTTTGTTTTGGTTAGAACTTCCCTCCTTCCCAATTTCTCAGACTTTGTGGTTTTGTGGTTTCCTGTAGTTGCGTTTGTTTTTTTTCTAACTGTCTCTGGCATGGAAGCCAGGTCATAGTGTACTGCATTAGACTTGGTATTTGTGTCTCGGTGTCAGAAGCAGCTTGACTTTACTATGATATAGCCCCTTCTGCTTCCTTTGTTCCTCTGCTGGTGGACTGTCAGCTGAAATGCTTGATGTATTTCCTGCCGCCATGTGGTTTTTTGGAAGAAAAAATGTCTGAGTCAGTTAATGTGATTTTTTTTTTAAACAATAAGAGCATAACAAAAGCATCTGCGTTAGCCTCTGCCCACCTCCCTACCAGCACCTTAACTCCTCCAGAGTTATAAAGCCTAGACTGGCACTTTGTCAATAACATTCAGACTATCTTAGAAGGGAAAAATATTAGAAAATTAAACCTTACTGAAAATTCTCTTTGCATACTAGTGGATCTGCAGAATTTCAGACACTGAGGTAGCAGTCAGTCAGTCAGTCATAAGAACACAAAACCGGGTTCTACTCCCTGTTCTACCATTACATCACAGAGTGACCTTGGGAAAGTCACTTAACCTTGTACCTTTTTTTATCCATGTGTAAAACAGAACCTTATGGGGTCCTGTGAAACAGTTAAGTGCTTTGAGATTCTCAGAGGGGAGGCATTATTATAAGTGCAAACTATTACACTGGGGTTGAGTTTAACATTGTTCCAATGTTTTTCATTTGTGATTTTTTTTTTAAAGCTATCCCATTTGGAAAAATCCCCATTTTAGAAGTGGATGGAGTTACCCTTCATCAGAGCCTGGCCATAGCCAGATACCTAGCCAAAGAAACAGGTAATGTAACACTGCTACTCTCTTACTACTTTTGACTGCTCCCGTGTTTAATGCGATCTACTAGTGCATGTTGAGCCATGACAATACAAACAAAGAGCCAGCCTGACAAACTGAAATTAACAGAAGTCAATGTGGACAGGACAATATAGACACAAGTAGTTTTCACAGAGCGACAAAAAGTATCTGTTGTCAACCTCTCCTGCTGCAGCTTCATTTAATCTGATCACAGAAATTTAAGGGGCACTGTGTGATGCTGCAAGTCCTGATGTGGAGTAGCTGTGTCATATCTGACACTAGATCTCTACAGTAGATAATGATGGTATAAAGTACCTTTGCACCCAGAAATGCTATATGGAGGTGGTCTGTGGGGGGAGGGTTGGTTTGCAGGGTTTACTTCTATAATTGTCCTATAGGATGTTATCAGTGTAAATCAATTCATCAGCTCAGAACGTTATTGGAATTTCCACAGCACCTCCAATGTGGCCCTCTCCCCTCCATCTCCATTGTTCCCAATTTGTTTACCTTGCCATTGTGCTCAAGCACCCATTCTTCACAACTACCCCAAAGGGCAGTAAAGTATGTGTGGACAATGTGATGTTAGCTGAACTTTGTGTAGGGCACCTGGACGGATGTCATCCTTCTGAATATGGGCTTGGACCATTCCCATGTCTAGATCCTAGCGGGAAACGGAGAAGAAAATTGCTACCTCAGCTACCAAACAAATACACCTCTACCTTGATATAACGCTGTCCTCGGCAGCCAAAAAATCTTACCGTGTTATAGGTGAAACCGCATTATATCGAACTTGCTTTGATCCGCTGGAGTGCGCAGCCCCACCCCCCCGGAGCACTGCTTTACCGCGTTATATCAGAATTTGTGTTATATCGGGTCACATTATATCAAGGTAGAGGTGTAATAATAATTAAAAAAATAATAAAAAAGCACTAAACTGAAACCAGAAAAATAATTAAAAACTTACAAAGCTTATGGAAGGTACACAACACTCAAAGGTGTTCATCCAACGAGGACCAAAGTTGGGCAACTCTGCTATGCCATCTGCATTGACAAGGAGAGCGCACAGATCTTGCCCCTCATGACGCACATACAGTAATTTGTGCTAGACAGAATCGTTTGCAGCATCCATTGGAACAAACCAAACATTATGGCTAGGTGCAAAAAGGCATTCTTATACCATAGAGGATAAGGCTCTGCCCCAGAGTTAATACATCCAATGGTTCAAACAATAGGGAGATTTATGTATGATTGTTACTACTACAGTTCCCTGACCAGTGCAGATAAGATAGATGGTTTTCAATTAGCTGTGTTAAACTAGTCTAAGGTACATGTTTATTGCATAAATATCAAAATAAATCCCAAGCTTTGCCAGCCGGGAGAACTATGCTAGAACTCTAGTATTAAATCAAGCTTAAGTACATGGGTGTGCTACCAGGATTTCAGCTACAGTGTGGGTAACGTTAAACACACACACACACACACACACACACACACACACACACACACACACA